CTTACTGGGGCAGGGCTGAAAAGCAGGCACAGAGTCCCTAGGACCCTGGCCCTGCCTCCTGCCAGAAACATTCCACCGCCTGTCAGTCTGTCCCCCAGCCTGGCCCCCTCTCCCTTCAGAAGCCTTGGGTTTGTTTGGAGAAACCCCTCCACCCACACTCCCCCTTCCTGGAAATAGCTGTGGTTGGATGAGAGGCTGGAAGCCCGGCAGTGGAGGAGGGGTGAGGCCCAGGGAAGGAGCCAGAGGGAAGGAAGGAGCCAGAGGGAAGGAAGGAGGGGTATATGAGTGTGCCCAGAGGGACCTGGGGAATTGAGGGTGGAAGCAGAGGGGGTAGAGGAGTGAGGCTGGAGAGTTGAATCTGCCTCAGTTGCCCCAGATGCGAAGTAGAAAAGGAAAGCCCTCATACGCACTCTCTTAAGCCAGGGCCAGAGCGCGGCCGCCAGTTCCCGCCCAAAACCCGGGCCTGGGTGTCGGGGCAACACGCGGTCCTCGGCGCTCGTGGGGTCGGGGAGGCGGGGCGCAAGTGCGTGGTGGGGCGGGCAGCGGGGTGCCCGAGCTGCGAGGGCGCCCAGGACGCGCGGAGGCGTGACGGCCGGGACCCGAATGTGACCGCTGGCCGTGCCCCACCCCTCGGTCATCTTCTCAGGGGTCCAGCTGCTCCGGCTCCCTGCGATCCGCACCATCCCGACCCCAGTTCTGGGTGGCCGCCTGGCTACCCGCGCCCATTCGCCTCTTCTGTGGCCCCGCGCCCCCTGGCGACCGCCCCCGACACTGCCCGTCCGGCCGGGACGTCAGGCCGCCGTCCTCCCGCCCAGCGCCGCGCGGCCACTCACCTGCGGGGGGCGCCCGGCGGGGCGGGGGCGCGGCGGGGCGGGGCAGCAGCAGGGGAAGCCCCCGGGCCAGCCCATCCTGCCCGGGGCCCGCGCCGAGCAGCCGCGGAGGAGGCGGGAGCGGGCGCGCCGCAATCGCCTGTGCTCCCTCTTGAGCCGTGCTCGCGCGCCCGCCCTCCGCGCCGCTCCGATCTTCTCCCTCCTTCCTTCCCTCCTGCCCTCCTTCCCTCCTGCCCGGGCTCCAATCCCCACGTTCCGCCCGCTCCCCGCCCCCTCGGCCTCCGCCTGCTCCGTCTTCTCCCCACCTTCTGCGAACCCACGCTCACAAAGGCTGGGAGGCCTGAGGGACGCGGACACGTGCCGAGGGAAGCTTGGAGGCAGGGAGAGACACAGAGTTTGGTAAGGTGGGAGGGTGAGAACACGGACAGGAAAATAGACCCGGCGGGACGAAGGCAAACACACCTGCGCGAGCCAGACAGCGGCAGAAGAAAACATGTATATAGGTCCAGTCGGCATTAGAAACAAGGGTCCGGAGAACTACCGCGGCCTCTCAAGTCCGCCCCCGCACGGGAGTGGGTTTGGGATTGATAGGACGCTGGAGGCAGGAACCCCCCCCCCCGCGCGGCCTGATCTGGTGGGCCACCCCCACCTTCCCACCGGGGCGCCTGATTCAGAGGAAGATGCCTGGTGTCAAGTGTCCTAAACTGCTGGATACCCTTCCTGGTCCTCTGCCCCACAGGAGACTTTTGCGTACCACCTGTTCCCGCCTCAAAGGACTGACAACTGAGATATCCACGTCAAGCTCAAACACTGCCACCCCCACCCCCACCCCCAGCAGCTCCAGTCAGCCCATACATCACCCTGCTTTGGGGTTGGACCTGGGCCCTCAGTCCCTCCCACTCCCTAGGAGACTTATATTAAGAAAATCTGCCTCACATTAAACTCAAGTTCCTGGCTTCCCAGTGGAGATGGAAGTTAATTGTGCGGTTTAACCTTATTCCTTCCTTTTTCAGTGTCTGGATCTGGTACTGGATGGAACTGCCTGGAATTGAGCGACTGGGCAATGGGGTTGGTCTGAGCTGGACCACCCTGTAGGGGAAGAGGGAAGAGATGATTTTTTAAAGCGCTGAATCTGTTCCGATTCCCCAGTGTTCCTTAGTAGTGAGCACTTCTTGCAACTTTCCCCTTCCCTCCCCGTCCCCGCTGGATTTTCCGTGATGAAATGGGGGGGAATGGGGGGGAGCGGACTGAAGAGCCAGTGCCCAGGGCCCAATGCCTGCTCAAGGCAGCCCATACCACCAGCTCTAAGGCACTCTGTTGCTCCTTCTCTCTCTCAAATGGGCCCTTGCTGTGCTCATCCTGCCTTTGGCAAACGCTGAGGAGTCTGGTTCTTAGGAGGGGGTGGAGCACTTGATTCCAATCTGGTGTCTGGGAAGAGGCTGTTAAAGCAGTGCGTGGTGACAATGTGGGTCCCCCAGAAACTGGCATTTGGGAGGGGTAGGTGTGGTTAGGACTGTGGAGCCTTGATCTTACTGCTCTTGACTGAGTTGCTGTCCAAGAGGCAGTCTTAGAAGTTAGAGCAGTGGAATGGGCATGGAAAGGAGAAAGATGGGGAGGCCCTGGGGGGAGGCGGGAGGCAAGAGTTTGGAGAAGACTCAGGAGAGTGATAGGGATCAGAGGCTACAGGCGTAGGAGCAGGACTGAAGGTCATTCTGTATTTGGCAAGATTTGATTATGTCAGCAGGATACACGAGATATAAAAAAGTTTGTTCATTTCATTGGAGCCTACAGCTACCTCTTTTAATGTCTTGCTGTTCCCAGAGTTTGTTGGGGATTTTTTCCCACCCCCTTGGGTTTGTTGCATGCCAAGAGGGTAGGTTCTAATCTCTAAAGGTACCAAGTGACAGATTGAGACTCAGAGAAGAGGCATGTGATTGGATGTGGGCAGTGGGCAGGGCCAGAGCCTCACACTGAAGCTGGTGTTGCCACCCAGGAGAGGAACTTTAGAGGTTCCAAGGAATTGGGAGAGGGTCTGCACAGTGGAACTTCCAGTTCAGACTTGATTCCTACTCTCAACATTGGGACCGGAGGTGGAGGGGAAGGAGCTGCAGGAGGGAAACTGATGAGGAAAGTTGAGAGTGAAAAATGATACAGGAGGTGGTTTGGTGGGGGTGAAATAGAAATGGGGCACATGGGGCCAGTCAGTCATCCTGACTACTAACTCAGAGCAGCCAGAGTTTCAGAAAGGAAGATAAAGGGAGGAGGAAAACCAGATGATGTTAGTGAAGGTGAAACAATTTCAGGAACACCCTCTGAGCCTCCTCCCATGCAAGTTTTCTTACCTTGACTATGCAGAAGACAGCCCACCTCGGGACTGAAGGCTGAACCCCCTTTTCCATGGTCTGGGATGATCCCCTGCCTGTGACCCAGTGTGCTTAGGTTCTTGGGGTGGGGGCTACAGGAGGGCATGAGGGTGTTGGCCGCCCTGGCTGGAAGAGCACTGGGTTAGGGGAACTTGAGTGGAGGGTTCCGGTACTGGGGACCTGGAGAGCAGGGGAAGGGGCAGGCAGAGCTGACTCCAGAGGCAGATCTCCCCACTGAGGACAGAGGGAAGTATTGTTTAGCCAGAGGTTGCCCGTGCTGGGCCGGAAGCAGCACAGCTTGCCTCTTCCAGACTCCTTTCTGGTAAGGTGGGAGGGTGAGGGAAGGGGGGTGCCCCTTCCCTTGTGGCCCTGGGGGCTACGGTGATTGCTGAGAAAAAAAGTTTTGACAAAGAATGCTTCCCAGGAGCAGATGTGTAGCTCTCCCACTTCTTGAGAAACCAGATGCTGTGAGCCCTCTTAGCACTTGAGGTGACGTCCTTGGCACTAACTGGGACTCCCACTGCCTTGGGATCCAGAGCCTAGTGTCTGGTTCTCTTTAGGAGAAACTTGGCTAAGAGGACTGTTAGACACATGGTACCCCATTGGCCTTCAGTTGGCCCTTGTAAAGGAGGAGCAGCATCTTTCGTGTTGCTCAAGATTTACAGCAGGTTGACAGGGCCACTGTCTTGGGTTCCATTTCTGCAGCTGGGCTTGAGAGGGTCCACACATCCTTCTATGACTGAAGACGGAGGAGGAGGGGGCACCTGCCAGTGTCTTTCTCTTGGATTTAGAGTAACCTCTCAGGATACAGTACAGTACAGGAGCTCCTCCCTTTCCCCTCTGTGCCCAACTAACATGAATCTTTCAAAGCAACCTCACTTCAGTTCTTTCCGTTATCACTGACCCAGACCTCAGTATTGCACAGCAAGAAAGTGGCTCTAAAGGCAGGCTGGGAGAAAGTGACTGATTCCTGTGATGGAGTCTCAGTAAACACTGCACTGGAAGTTCCACAGCCAGGAGGCCCTCCCCTCCCCACCTAAACCTACAAAAAGGCTTTTGAATCTTCACAGCACATGGAGCCTCTTACCCCTCAACTTTGGAAGAGATCAATGCACCAGCAAGAAACTGAGAGCAGTTGCTGCTGTTGACCCAGGAAAGGCACTTGTGTAACTGTGCTCCCCTCCCCTTGGCTCCAAGTTCCCCAAACTGTTAGTCAAAGACTAAGGTTTCCTGGGCTTTATGCTCCACCCCCCCTTGTAACCTTAAGGATTTTCTACCACTGTCTTAACCTCCTTCCTGCCTTGCAACAATGAACAGTCTGTCCCTAGCTGTTTGGAAAATCCCCAGAGTCTGAGCTGATTAGGAGAAAAGTGGCCTCAGTTGTAACCCAGACCAGCTCGTTAACTAACTCCCTCCTGCCTGTGCAGGGTAACCTGAAAGGAGTTGCACCTCTCCAGGCTGAAGGGTGGTTTCCGGAAGCACTGCCCTAGGGAAATGAGGGTTTATCCCCAAAGCTCCCACATCATGCTGGTAAATGGGAGAGGAAATAGACAACAGGGGTATTCCAATGCTTACCAAAGGTTAAAACACCAGGCACAAATGCTGGAGGACAGCTGAAGCAAATTCCCAGTTCCTGGGCCTCAACGGAACAGCTTCCCTTTGTGAGCCTAGGCTCTGTGCTTACACAGACCAGTTTCCAATGCTGAGAACTTCAGGGATTGTGTGGGGAGATGCAGAATGTCAATGGGGAGCCCAATAAAAAGCACTGGGAGTGTGGTGCTACTGTCAAAGAATTTCAGCATTAAAATGAACTTTAAAGATCAGATTTATTTGGAGAAAACAAAAAACCCACAACCCAAAGGATGGGATTTTACATCAAGACATCTCCCAAGTATCAAGTCTACAGATTACAAATCATTTTCATAGAAGATATTTTTGTACAAATTTTACATATATTGAGGAGTGGGACATAAATTGGTTTCTGTTTTAAGGGGTGGGGGAGAAGGGGAGTAGGGAAAAAAATCTTTTTTGGACACAACTGTTTGGAAAGAGTAGACATGAAGAGGGCAAACCCTACCATTTCATCGTCTACAGCAACTGGTTTACAAAAACCCCTTTTAGCCTTGGGGATTTCTCTAAAAGCCACTTCTAGCTAACTAGTCAATCTAAGCCAATTATTTAAAGTCACTTAACTTGGTCTTTTATGTCCACTGGGTAGATGATTCATTCTGTCCCCTGCTACAGCACTCATAAAACCAATCCCCTCGCATGGCTGGTGACCTCTAACCTAGGACCGATGGGAGAGGGGCTTGCCACCACCTCTCTGCAGGTGCCAGTGTTACCGCCACCACCTACTGGGCTGACAGCACAAAGGTGCACATAAAAGCAGGCCAAGTTAAGCTATGTTGCAAGAGAAACCAGGACCTTGTAAAATAGTTCTCTCCATTATCATTTATTCTCTCAAGGGAAGCTAAACCAAACAGAACACCACACACTGGCCTAGACCACATTATAAATCCAAAGGTTGGTGTGGGATTTCAGTGGCAATACAGAAACTTAAAAAAAGACGAAAACAAAAATGAAAACCCCAATCAAGGTTGTAAGAAAGGTTCCCAATTTATCTACCCCCCCATCACCTGAGACCATTAATTCTAGTTTTCTGAGGTGTAGGGGTCAAAGCGGTAGGAACAGGAATGGGTGGAGCGAAGGAGTGAGAGTCAAAAGGACATGAATGAGCCAGGATTTGCTAGAGAAAAGCAGTGATCCCTCATTTGATTCAGCTCCTGGGTGCGGACATAGGATGCCTAGATCACGTTGTGTGACTTAAATAGAAGCTGCTTTTGGGAAGGGAACAGGAAAGGAGCATGAGGAACATGAGAGGATGACAAGATCTAAAAAGCTTTAAGATTTCAACAATCTGGATATATCTGAACTTTAGAAAGGACAGCAAAACCAGGACACATAAAAGACTTGGGAATTCCCATGACCCCTAAGTGCTTCCTGCTCCAGGAAGTAACCATTCCTGTGTTTACTGGAGATCATACCATTTTCCCCCTATTAGTGGTGCAAAATAATTCATCACCTCCCCAAAGCCTCTTTTCAAATCATGATTTCCCCACTTATTTTGGTCATCAAGCAGTTCTGTTCTTTAGTGGCCTGTAGATTCACTCCCGACTACCCCCCTGGGGGGTAAAAATGAAGGAACTTCCCCTAGGCTGGCCCCAGTAACTCAATTAAATAAGAGGGGCTGGCAGCCTCCCGGAGACTAAAACAACTTCAAAGACTAAACCTACCTTTCCGAGGAAAATTTACTCAGATGTTTGAGAATTCATATATGCCACAATAGGATAAGAATTAAAAGTAGAAATCTCACACCCTTCCCTATACCTGCTCTACTGCTCAACCAGCTTCCAGACACTGCATCCCTGTCACTGCCATTTCTCTAAACAGAGGCCCCCAGGCACTAATCACACAGGCAACTGCATGTGTCATAAAAACACACTTTTCCATTAAAAGCTGTACTCTCTCCGGCTAAATCAGCGGTTCTCCAGTTAGGTCAATACTTTAAAGGCTGCAGCAGCATGCAAAAGAATTTCATTTTGTTTTTGTTTTGTTTTTTTTAAAAAAAGTTAAGAAATATCTCCAGGAGATGGTGAGTTTTATTTTGTCTTGTCTGGATAAAGGTTTGATTTGCTCTTGAATGTTCCAGGGTGGAGAGAGACTAGAAGAAAGCACAGGATGCAGAGGTCTATTCGGTGTAATCTTCTCCCTCATTTTCATCTTCACCATCAACGGAGAGAGCAGCATACTTGCTTGCAGAACTGAACTTCTGCAACAGACAAGAGTGGTGAGATGACCAAGGCCTTGGGTGCTCCTATCAGAGACCAGGAAACAGGATACGGACACTTTGACAAAGGGGAGGACAGTGCAGACCACACCCCCTTGCGTGCTCATCTGCATTTTCCACTGGAGGGTAGCTAGAGAGCCGTCAGAGACCTGAGGGTTCCTACCCAAATCAGATGGCTCCTTTTATCTTGAAGGGATGAGAGTAGTGAAAAGGTAGAGAACAGGGAGAAAAGCTAATCTAAGCTTTTTTCACTATGTCAAATAAGTAACAATGCCATACTTTCAACCACTCTGTTTTCAGCTCCAAATGCAAAGGAGTTCAACAGTAGAAGTGAGCTAAGTTAAGAGTAAGCCTCTGACACTTACGGAGGCTGGGTTTTCTTCAGGTTTCTTTGGCTCAGGTGCAGATCGGGAGTCTTGATCCTTTTTGCTATCTTTCCTGCAGTGACATAAGCATAAAAGCACATCTTTAGAAGAGGATTCTCCCAACAGCCGCAAGCAATTTTAAGGCACTGAATAGGCACTGCCAGTCAGCAGCAGTCCTTGCTATATGGGGATTTTAATTTTACTCTTTCTAGATTCTCAGAATCGTAACTGTCTATACTGATTGACTTCAGTTTGCTCATGGCAGGGAGCCTAGCAATGCCAGAAGAACCAAGAACTTCCTAGTTATAAAAACATATGAATTTAGCATCAGCAGAAAGATTACAAATGATGAAAAGGAGAACATGCATACCTATCTGACTCCTTCCAATGGTCTTTGCTCCCTCCGTCTCCTGGACCACGGCTGGAGTTCCCACTTTGGCTTTTTGGGACACTCACTCCATCTACTTTATTTTCATCTGCTTCAGTGGAGATGTAAAAATAAAAATAATGTAAAACACTGAAGGCAAGTAAAATAATGACTCTCTCCCCCAGGTTTCCCGTAAGCTGGGAAAAGTGTGCTCATATATACTGAGGGAAATTATACCTCACCCCAACTCAGACTTCCTTCCTAAGTTCTTCTTCCCACATCCTCTAGAACACACCCACCCACACCGACCGCCCACCCCAACAAGACCCACTAAAAGTTCCACTGCAGGGCCACACCATTATAAAAAGCAATCTGGAAGTAAGGACTATGATGCTGGGCAGTGACCTTAGCCTTGCAGATGGTGACATTTCTAATCTGGGCTAGGCACGTTAATTTCCTTCCGATTTTTTTTTTTCCCTTTCAAAGAAATGTTCTGCCAGGAAAGGGCAGGGCTCCATGCTTTCTCCAAGGAGACCATTCCTGCCCTCTACTGGCAAGGAAAGGCAGATAATCTAAGAATGTAATACAAGAATGGGTGTCAAACACCCAAGTTCATTATTTTGTGACTCTTCTACAGGCTTTTCATTTGGACCTCTAGATGACAGTGAGCTTCTAAGGCCTTACCTTTCCTTGCTGGTCCTTCCTCGGATGGTTGAGCCGGAACTGCTTTCCCCCCTCCACTAGAAGGAAAACATGTAATTGTGCTCATCAGTTGTCTTAGGGAAGGTACAGATACATTTACAATCATTCTCCAAGCACACCAAGGTTTACAGAGAACCCCAAATACATTCTTAACGTGGAGCATTAAAACCCAGGAGAGACAATGAAAGCTATTATCTGAACACTAAGTGCCATGTCCTTTATTATTTCACAGTCACACAAGGTTGATGTTATTCTCTATTTTGCAAATGAGAATCCTAAGACTTAGAGAAATGAAGGGGCTGTGAAGGCCATACTGCCAAAATGTGGCAGTGGCAATGGCAGGTCTGATTTATAGTGTTTACAGATTTCAAGACATCAAAGTGATGTCAACTAGCTATCAAAACTCTTGAAAACTAAACAACTGGGTCTTATGATCCAGCTTCAATATCATGGAATGTGAACTAAGAGAGTAAAGACAGGGTAACTTGTAAGATACTGTATTAATGCCCACCCTACAGAGCACTTTCCATCATGGTATCACAATACTTAAACATTTAAGACTCTACAGCTACCCACCTGCTACGTTCCCAAGCTGACTCACCTTGAAGGGGAGTGCTGCTCTGTGTCTGAGCTCTGAGACCGAGCAGGAGGGTTAGAACTTCGCTTCACCCAAGCATTCTCCTTTGGTGGAGGGGCTGGCATTACCTTTAGGGGCTGTTCAGGTTTGGGAGGCTTAGAAGTTGGAGAGTGACAGTCTTCCTCCTTACTGAGTGTTTCATTTTCTAGAGACTTCTCACTCTCTCTTCTTCGTGCATCTGTGAAGTCAGAGTGGGAAGATCAAATTACCAGGGAAAAAACCTACTGTACAACCATCTAGTAGGATCTCAACAGAGTGGAAAATGGTCCACAACCAAAATTACTGCTTTCCCTCACTAATCTTAAATACAGACCAAATTTTGCTCCCATCAGATGAAATTATCCCAAACCAGTGGTTTCCAAATGTCATTTGGAGAGATGTTTCACTGATGCAAGAGAAACACTCTCCAAGGATAGACACCTGAATTTTCCCAGAAATGAGCGAGTATTCTTTATTTTAGGACTACAGCCTTTCTACATTTTCAGTGTTAAAATGCCCATATGTGAGAATGTTATGTACACATGTGTGTGAAAGGGACCCACAATAAATCCTCAGACTCCAAGAACCACGATTAGCTTCAACATCAGAGGCTCAAGACATACACAAAGTGTAACGCAAAACAACCACATTTATGCATTTATGAAAAACAGAGCATACACATGTAATTTTTTAAAAAAGGGGCACCATATCTCCTCAAAACCAGAAGCTTCTTTTGTCAGATTCTTTCTATATTTTAAGTGCAAGCTCTTTAGAAACAGATACAACACAAGGTCATCCCTGGTTACAAAGAGAAGCATCACACCCTGTTATTAAGAGGCTACTCCAGGATGAATTATTTTCAGAAAACTTTGACAACACTTGGATGAATTGCAAATCATCTCAGCCTTGTGACATGTTCTGAAATGCTCAAATATAAATCAATTTAGAGGTGAAAGGAGAAACCTTAAAAAACAACAGCTTACATAATAAGGGGAGGGAAAACCAAGCCATTCAGTTTCCAAACACTAAATGTGCTGCTTGTAACCAACCAGCAAATTCAAGGAAGGAAGACACAAGAACAGAGTATCGTCTCTTAAGACACTGCTGAGGTCACATAAGGTATCAAAAAAGGCTGGCCCTAGGGGGAGCCGCTCAGAGCTACAGGATGCTTGCTCTGAACAAACAAAACCCAGAGCTGTCAAGACATATCGATGAAGGGACACCTCTAACAGTCAAGTATTCTCTTTAGGAAAAGATCATTAAACAGATTATTTAAGTTTCTGGTGCCCATTTCCCAGATTTTTCAGAGCAAATGAGAAATGCAGATCAATCCACGCTTACCCAAATAGAGTCCATGACTGAATATAACACCTCAAAGTCTACATTATTGGGTCTTACACAGGTTATGGAAAAGGGCGGTGATGTGATACCCACCCTGGTCTGACTTACTTCTGCCAGATGTGGCCGAGGCCCCGGTCTGTGATGACTCACTTCCTGTCCTCGACCGTTCCCGTTCCTGAGTTTCTTCACTTCGCCAGCTGGGGTGTCTGTACACAGAGATTTAATGAACTAAATCATGGCCAGCTCAAAGAAGGCCACTTTGGACCCATGCTGACCCCTCAAGAACACACTTATTTTATCACTCTTGCTTTACCTATGGATGGGTGTGTGCACCTGTCTCTCTTCCTCAAACCATTTGAAAGCTGCAGACATTAAGACTCTGTGGCTTGGAACCACTTCAGCAAGCACCAGCTGGGATCAAGGACATTTTCCTACAAAATCTACAACTCTGCCCCTGACCCTCTTACTGGTAACACAGTTCTGCAAGCCATTCAAAACAAGGCCTAGTTTTTCAGATTATAGGTTTACACCCTATTAGACCCAATACCACATTTTAAAAATACACTTTTGTGACAACTCCTTTACTATCCTGAAATAACACATAATACAAGCAACGTACACATAAGAAAAAAGATGGGAAAAATTTACAGCCTACACTTAATGTACCTGAAAACATTTTCCCTCTTCAGTATCTCCAGCAACTTGAGAAGAGTTAAATCCAGTTACTTCACACATGGTGGTGTTTTCCTCTATACACTAAAGCAGAGTCTGGCAAATTTTTTCATAAAGGGCAAAATAAACTTTATTTATAAAAACAGGAACAGCCAATAATTTGCTGACTCCTGTACTGAGGTACCACTGATTTATACCTGTGGCAGTTTAACCTAGTAGGCTTTGAAATCTTGAGGGACAGGCATTGGGTGAAAATTGTCCCACAGACTGCAGACGACAAAGCAGCCCAGACCACGCACACTAAATATGCTAATAAATTACAAGAACTAACTTTCGTTTGGGGAAGCCTGTGAAGGCTTCAAAGTGGGACCACCTAAGAGTCTTGAAAACTGAGAATGTACCTAACAGGGTAGAGCTGAAAGGGATGACAGATAACACAAGCAGTAGTACCACACACATCTCACAAGAGCCCCCAGGGGTGTTAGAGCCCCACCTAAGAACTACTGGATTCACAGCTGGGAATTTCAAAACGAAGAGAAGCTTACCTCTCCCGAGGCCGTCGTTCCAGTTTTGGCTCATCCAGCTGGCGCTGCAGCTTCTCCTGCTCCTTCTGTAGCCGCTCTTCTACTTCTCGTTCTCTAGCAGCTGTATCAACAGGCTTTGCCCCTCCAAAGATTGAGGCTGCTCGACTGGACTGGGAGGTGCTAGCAGAGGAATCATCTTCCTTAGGAGTACTCCGAGGCTTTAGATTCAGTTTGGGTCTTTGGGGGGGACCTAAGTTAAATAAAACTCTAAGTAATAACATTTTCTCAAAATCATCAGAAGCTGATGGCGGAAAGCCAGATTTCCAGACACAGCTCTTGTAAAATGCTAAATGGGATTCACATTAGTGGCCTAGCCAATCCAGCCAGCAAGGTATGGATATCATTAGAAGATGGGTGACTTAAATAACTAAATCCAATCAATCTTTCCACCACACCCATGATACCAGACTGAGGGAAAGACAAAGAAGGGAAAGAATTTAAATGGCAAATATATCACTTATCATGACTAGTGTTACCTGGGAAGAAATTTTCAACTATGATAAACTACTGCATGAAAGTATTCTGCTGAAAAATGTGATCTGGAAGATGGATTACTTCAAGAGGTTAAAGGAGAACTTGCAATAATGATACAGAACACACTGTAGTTCTTATTATAATCGTGTCTCTGTGTATAGTGTAAAATTGGCAGTGATTCACAAAGCTAAGCAAGCAACACTGAACATCTTAATATAAACTCTAAGGGAGCTTGATTTCTCCCTGGATACAAGCTGTCAAGATAAACCTGAGTGTTTCAAGGAAATTGTATTTCTAAGAATCAGTGTTGAAGTATCTCAGACAAACAAAAAATATTAAAGAAAGCCTATGTGAACACAAAGAAATAAAAGGCATCCAGATTGGTAAGGAAGAAGCCAAACTGTCCCTGTTTGCAGATGACATGATATTCTACATATAAAAAAACCCTAAAGAATCCACTCCAAAACTACTAGAACTAATATCTGAATTCAGCAAAGTTGCAGGATACAAAATTAATACACAGAAATCTGTTGCATTCCTATACACTAACGATGAGCTAGTAGAAAGAGAAATCAGGAAAACAATTCTATTCACAATTACATCAAAAAGAATAAAATACCTAGGAATAAACCTAACCAAGGAAGTGAAAGACCTATATCCTGAAAACTACAAGACACTCTTAAGAGAAATTAAAGAGGACACTAATAAATGGAAATTCATCCCATACCCTTGGATAGGAAGAATTAATATTGTAAAAATGGCCATCCTGCCTAA